AAGCCTTCAAAATAATAATATTGTAAGAAAAAGTCAAAGCAGAAAAAAAAACATTAAACTGTTTTTAGTTGTTTCCGCTTCTGTTTCTTATTTTTATATTAAACTGTTTGGGAAATAAAAATTTGTCTTGGGGATTTTTGGCAGGACCAATGAGATATGGAGGACTTTACCATCTGTTCTATCAATACAATCCAAAAGGTGCAGTTTGGGGAAATATTGTGTGGGGACATTCAGTGTCAAAGGATCTTGTGAACTGGACCACACTAGATCCTGCCATCTTCCCATCTCAGCCGTCTGATATAAATGGTTGTTGGTCAGGATCAACCACACTGCTTCCTGGGAACAAACCAACCATTTTGTACACAGGAATTGACTCTATGAAAAAACAAGTTCAAAACTTGGCCAAGCCCAAAAATTTGTCTGACCCTTTTCTTAGGGAATGGGTTAAGTTCCCCCAAAACCCTGTAATGGCACCAACTAGTGATAACAATATAGTTCCAGACTCATTTAGGGATCCCACCACTGCTTGGCTAGGACAAGATGGACACTGGAGAGTACTTGTTGGAAGCAGAAGAAGAACTAAGGGAATGGCACTGTTGTATAGGAGCAAAGACTTTGTTAATTGGGTTCAAGCCAAGCACCCTTTTTATTCAACCAAAGACAGTGGAATGTGGGAGTGCCCAGATTTTTTTCCAGTTTTGAAGAATGGTCAATTGGGTGTTGAGACATCTGTGAATGGTGATGATGTTAGGCATGTACTCAAGGCTAGCTTGAAAGGACATGATGATTATATTATAGGGAATTACAATACTTCCAAGGATGTGTTTGTCCCTGATAAAGGGTTTGATGAATTTGTTTTAAGATTTGATTATGGAAAATACTATGCCTCAAAATCTTTCTTTGATGATGGAAAGAAGAGAAGGGTTTTGCTTGGGTGGGTGGACGAATCATCAAGTGAGGCAGATGATAACAAGAAAGGATGGTCTGGAATCATTGTAAGTTCATTTCAATATTGTCATTATTGGTTTGTTCATTGCATTCTAAACTCAATACAAGACTTGTGACCAAATCAAAACATTTTGAGTCTTGGCTCAAATAATTAGATTTGGTTTATAGCCATGATTTTGTGATGGATAGAGTGTGGTTATAAATAAAATGACCAAGATGCTCATATATATTTATAGGCAATTCCAAGGGCCATTTGGTTGCACAGGTCTGGTAAACAGCTGGTACAATGGCCTGTGATGGAAATTGAAAAGCTTCATGCAAACCCAGTGAACTTGCCCCCACAAGTACTAAAAGGAGGACAATTGCTTCAAATTAATGGTGTTACAGCATCACAGGTAGATTTCACCTACTACCATATAAACATAATAAGTGTTCCAAATGTGGTTTCATAGCAGTATAATTTTATTACTAGGTCTCTTTCAATGTAGTGAAACTTGCATAAATTTTAGCATCAAAAAGATGTTTATATACTCTTTAAATGTTAAATATAGGAATACTAAATTTTAAAATAAGTTCATGTTACACATTAGAATTCAATCAACCATCTTGATATTAGAAGTGCAGTTTTAGATAAAAATTAGAGAAATTGTTCACTATGCTAATCTGGTCTTGTTAACGTTATTTTAGCAACTAAAACTTAAATATTATATTGAAAAAACTGTTAGTTTTACCAACTCTTGGAATGAAAATAAATATCTATAGGAAACTCTAAAAAACATAGTATTATATTTTTAATGTAATAAACATTTCTTTCTAAAAAATATTTTAATTTTTAGTTGTTTAAAATATATCATAATAGAAAAATGATAAAATTCACGTATATATATTTGTTTTAAGACTTAATTATATTCTTTTGTTTCAAATTGTGCAGTTTTTTCAAGTTTCAACTGTGATGATCAAGTCTCTTATAATTCTGCGATTCAAATATTTCATTGTCTAATTGTACTAATCAGATTAAGTAACTTTAGTCTCTCAGACGTAATAAATCACTGTCGCATCCATAGATTCTAGATGACAGAGAGACTAAAATCATAGTGAAATCTTAAAAATCTAATTTACACTGTAATAAGAAAAACATACCTACAAAAATCAATTGTCACAGTTGAAATGAAAAGACTAAATTCCCATCATTAAAATGCTTGGGAATCAAGTTAGCAGTTAAGGGTTGTTTTAAAATTAGTGATAATTTGTCCTCTGCAGGCTGATGTTTAAATTTCATTTGAAGTGAGTAAATTGATAGAGGCTGAAGTATTGGACAATTGGACAGACCCCCAAATTCTGTGTAGGCAAAAGGGTTCATCCATTAAAAGTGAATTGGGGCCGTTTGGTCTGCTAGTTTTTGCTTCTGAGGGATTGCAAGAGTTCACATCAGTTTTCTTCAGAATATTCAAATACCAAAATAAAAATTTGGTGCTCTTATGCAGTGATCAAAGCAGGTTAATTTGTTTGTGTCCTCTATTTATTTCTATCCACTCAACTTCTCTCCAAACTCATACAATCTCTCCAAACTCATACAAATGCATGTATGCAAACAGGTCTTCCTTAAATAAAGACAATGATTTGACCACTTATGGAGCTTTTGTTGACGTGGAACCTCTTCATGAACAGCTTTCATTGAGAACACTGGTATGTTTCAGCCGATGAAGCTACTAATACTCATCGAAATTGCATTCAAATGGAACTCTTAAGTTTTAAGAATTTGGTTTTCTCTGCTGAGTTTTCAAAATATACTGATAAACACAAATTTTAATGTTTTAAAATATATTAAAAACTTTTTCAAACATACAAATATCAGTGTATTTTAAAGATTCAGTAAAGATATAACACAAAGATATTACAAAAAAACTCAGCAGAAAATTTGGACTCAAATTTTAGCAAGTCCGTATACACATAATTTTATACACTTGAACACAAACATTCATCTACAAAAAAGATATGATTTGTAATACATTTAATAGTAATGATAATTGGGATAATGATAATAAGAAGTGTGTGCTAAAAGTCATTTTTCTTAGTTGGTGCCATCTTTTCTTTTGTTCAAATGATCTATAATTTTTTTCTAAGGCATGAGTTTTTCAATTCCACAGACTGATCATTCTGTCGTAGAGAGTTTTGGAGGAGAGGGAAGAGCTTGTATCACAGCCAGAGTTTACCCCACATTGGCGATCAATGATAAAGCACAACTATATGCTTTCAATAATGGCACTGCTGATGTTAATATTACAAGACTGAATGCTTGGAGCATGAAGAAAGCACAAATAAATTGACACTAAGGAATTTCAAAAATACAAATGTCGATTTACAGT